AAACATGAAAATATTCCAAATGCCTTTTACTCAAGGTCTTAAAATAACTTGGGAGAATGTGCTGCCTTTGCTCTGATATCCGTAAATGGTTCGGCATTCTAGTCTAGATACATCGGACGATCAACCGTAGGCCCCATCTTCTGTATCTTCTCTGTGCTTGTTAACGTACCTCCCGTTGCTGTGGTCTTGTTACCGTCTACACAGGTTCTCATTTAAATTAGCTTTTAAGCTGAACTGGCCAGCCTGTCCAGATATCACAAATGAATAAACATTATTTGTGCCTTGAATAAACATTTTATCAGTTAAATACCTACATATAGGTTTTGACTTGCCACTAAAACGTGACAAGTGACACAAAAGTTCACAGCAAACAAAAAGTTGATAGCTTCAGTTCTTATTGGACAAAGTACTGACTGGTGATACATCATGTAATGATTAAAAAATACTACACTCAGGCTAGATGTACTAACGTAAAATATAATAAATAGTATTTTACAAACTTCTCTCTCATCATTTCAAAGTATATCGATGTAACTGAGTTAACTGCTTCCTTTTCAGATACGGATGAGTGTACCAATAGTCCATGTAACCAGTTTTGCACAAACACTCACGGTGGATACGTTTGCCATTGCCATAAAGGATATGAGCTTTCAGGAAATACCAACTGTGTTGGTAGGATAACAAATGATATTTATCGAATCGTTAAATATGTATTTTATTTTACATTTTATTTAATCAGACGTTCAAGCAATGACATAATTTGAAAACCATTGCAGAGCCCCTGGGTCCGATCGGCAATGATTCGAACCTTCATTTTCACATTTTATATGAAATTTGACCTCCGGTTGGGTGTGGAACGAAAAAGTAATAATAATCATTACTTCAACCTCAGCAATTAGAAAAGCAGATCGTAAATGGTATTCTGCTGGTAGAGACATTACTCAAGACTGTTTTAAGTGTAAATTGCATGAACTGCTCTGAGCGAGTTTGACGACAACTGTCAAATAGCTAAAATGAGCTTATAAAGAACTGACAGCTCTTCACTTTGTGTTCATTTATATCATCATGTTCCTTTTCCAGATATCAACGAATGCTCCACTGATAACGGAGGCTGTTCCCACTCTTGTCACAACTCTGCTGGTTCATTCTCATGTTCTTGTCCAAGCGGGCTCGCACTGGATTCTGGCAAAAGGAGCTGTCAGGGTAAGATTACATAAATATAGACTATGGTGAGTTTCACGAGAGGATCTGTGATATGCTTCCATCTGCTTAGAAAGTGAAGTCAAGTTAAATAAGAGATAAGAGAAAGAAAGAAGGCCATAATTATCTTATCAACATCAGAATTCAGCACATTGGCCTCCACTCTTCTGTTTTAACAATGAAAGAAGCAGCCGATTGGCTAACGCGCTGGACTTTGGAGGAGAGATCCAGATTCGAGCTCAGACCGGCTCATTGTGGTATTGGGGCAAGACTCTTTACTCTCACAGTACCCAGGCTCTCTCTCCAACCAGCAGTTTGGATGAGCACTAGTGAACTGTCAAGAAAAACCTGGCATGGGTAGGAGGGGTAGAAATGCCCCTATTCGTTTCATGGTACACAAGCCTGGATATGCGTTACAGTTATGGGACAAGTGGCCTCTAAAAGACTCAAACCCCACTTTGGAGGCAATTTCAATAACAAAATACTACATCCGCAACCTTCCTTACTGTTTAGTGCTTCCTGTATTTTTACTTTTTTTTTTCAGTTTCAAAAGCGTTTATACGTATGTATTTATATATTTTTTGAAATCAAAAGACAAATAACGAAAATGACCTCAGCAACTGCGACTTAGCAGTAGGTAATTAAGGGAAAGAGAAAAACCTCCAAGACGACATTAAAACCACTGGTACAAAATTACAGTGGTCGTGCTCTTCACGCCATTTCATTGTTCACTTGTAGATGTCGACGAGTGTGCTACTAACAATGGTGGTTGTGAACATTCTTGCGTCAACACATTCCAGTCCTTCACCTGTGTATGCAGACAGGGATACACTTTGGCTGGGGATAAAAAGAACTGCCAAGGTAACTGACTGCGGACACCAGTGTGTATATTCCCCATAATATATAGATTTAGCCCAGCCTAAAAGCGGAGCTCGCATTTTTTTCCCGCACGTCTCGTCTCCTCAGCTATGTACAAGTGTAGTGCACGCGTTGTATGAATATATGAATATAGTTTATATCTGACCACTTGCAGCTCAGAGGCTGAATTACGGGTGCAGTGTAAGATTGAGAATAGACGTCAGCATATCATTTGAGAATTTGTTGTGCTCAAACGCCCGCTGGACAAGACCAAAGCCGTGGCGTTGGCGTGCCCGCGGTACAGTTGACTGCGCATGCTAAAAGTATCACGTTTTACGGGCGCCCGTACGGTCATAAGTCCAAATTTTTTCAGCCTGATGGGTTACTACTACTATTTTGTATAATTATGGGGCTACGCTGCGCGCGCTGCGAGCTCCGCTGTTATTATCTATACACTTCCTGTGGTACCAACAGAGAGAATTTGTTCAATAAGCAGAAGCTTCCTTAGTCAGCGATCATTCCCTTCATTCTCATGATCTTAATATTCGACTTGGGGGGGGGTACTGTGAGGAGAAATAAGATACTCGTCACTCTTAGCGGTTGGAGGGTTAAAATGAGTTGAACAACTTTGATGAAAAATGAGTAAGCTAAGTGTTGCCACTCTGAAGTGCTTGTGCATTTGTCAGTATGCAAAAATCCCATTTTGAAGAGGCTAGGAACCTGAGCCATTCGCACGCGCGTTTTAAACTCCTGCTCGTTCTCAAGACTGTTGTAATAAAATCGCCATCATGACATTATAGCATTAATATTACTGCCAATGTAAGAATTGATTATATGATAATCACGTTGTTCTTTACAGCAATTTCATGTCCAAATTTAAGTAACCCTAGCAATGGAAACGTGGCACTCTGNTAAAACCCCTACCTGCTCACGTAAGTGTTTTAGACGCTGTACTATTAAAAGATGGAAAAATTTTAAAACATGAAAATATTCGCTAAACTTTTTTTTTTCAAGAATGTATCACTCATCATGCACTGATCAAGTCCCCAAAATGAACGATCTTAGTTTGCGACCTGACCAGAAGCACTTGCCTTACGTTGCTTGCATTACGTTGCATTACGTTGCATTATGTTGCTTTTATACTTAATCGTACCTCTTATTTCCCACGAAGGGACATTACCAGAGGTTTGATAAGTTATTTGCAAGAGAGGATCGAGAATTCTTTTTGATTGAGGATGGTTCAGAAAGTCCACAATTTTATTTCTACACTACAAGCCAAACGAACTAAGACATCTTTATAGAAAAGTAAATTTTAGATACTTCACATTGAGCAGTTTCTGGTAATACTGCCCTAACAGGAATTGTGACCCTTAGGTATGATTAAGGGGGTGAGGAAGGCTTTGGTTCCAGATCCCCTGGACCTCCCCCCTGGGTCCACCACTCACATGTATCAACAATTTGTTGACATCAAATCCAAGGAGATGGGCCACACTTGTTTCTTTATGGATACCGTTATAGCTTAAACTATTAAGCTTGAATCAAGTTTCTTGTAAACATCTTATTCTACAATCCCAGAGTTGTAACACAACAAATGAATTTCCTTTCGCCACTAAAGGTGTCTTTTGTGCGGAGATCGGAGAGGTAGAAAACGCCAATCCAGTTACTTTAACTGGGAAAGATGCTGGAAAGAATGTTCTTAATACCAAAGCAACTTTCTCCTGTAAAGCAAACTACGCTATGGTGGGTGACGCAGTCAGGACGTGTCAGCAAGATGGAACATGGAGTGGGACCCAACCCAGATGTATTGGTATGTTTTACTCGAGCTCTTTTAGTTAATGTAAAGCTACTAAGTTTGGAGAGGAGTCCAGTGGGGAGAGCGCTCGCCTCCCGCCACTGTGGCCTGGATGTTATTCGCGGATCTGACGTCGCATGTGGCCTGAGTTTGTTGTTGGTTCTCGTCACCCTTGCTTCGAGGGTTTTATTCCGCGTCATCAGGTTTTCTACCCTCCGCAAAATCTGGAAACAGGCCTCAGGCAAGAAGGAAAGAAATTTCGAGTTAAGGATGTCTACAAAAAAGCGAAAAAGAAAGGATTTCAGAGTACGCGCCAAACTCTGCCCAAAATTGAGATGTTGAGTTCACTTCAATTACAAATTCATCGGCAATTGTTTCTTTCATTCCAGGTGTCCTCTTTTAGTCTTCTTCAAGTAACACTCGTTTATCTCACCATCCATGTCTTTTGATATGATTTAATCGTTGTCAGCTAACTTCTTAAAACTCCTCGATATCATTGATATCAAACAGATGCTGACCTCACCTGATAGATACAATGTTTGGAAAACTGAACAACAGCTAGCCTTACTAACGTTAATTCTCTCGCTTGCAGCTTCCTTCTGTAGTCCAGTACCAGTCCCTGCTAATGGCGCGGTTCAAGGCTATCGGTATGAGCTGGGTGCTACTCTTCGCATCACTTGCAACGAGGGCTACAATATGGTACCAGCAAGTTCTGCATTTAGGACTTGCATTTCAGATGGCAAAGGAGGAGGACAATGGTCAGAAACAGATCCTGTCTGCGAATGTAAGGGCTTCATGATAAATACCTATTACTTAGCAAGAGGGCCGGACGGGAAAATATTTGGCTTGAGGTGATGCCGTACTGACCGAATGCCAAAAATGTTCGCTTTCGCTCTTCTCACTCAGTCAACCCGCAACTTATCATTTGTACGGTTTTTTTCCGGCCCTACACACGCCATTATGCACGGCCTAAAAGCGCACACGGGGATGTATGAGTCATATGATAAATATTTTTAATATCAGATAAGTTAATCGGCTAATGGCTGCTTTGTCGGGCCTATACGTGGATCTCGAATGGTAATGTGTAACCCGTGAATCTATCACCATGGTAAATTCCCAGATTCATCTGCAGAAGAACAGAGTGCATCTACCTGTACCATTTGTATGGAACACTGGAACAAAAGGGCGAACTGACAAAAGTTGAGATGGAACGTTCTGTGACTCTTGCTACAAGATTCATAGCATATGAACTGGATAGGAACAACTGGCAAATTAGAAAGCGGACTTTCGAAAAGCTTATTTTTATCACCTTGATGTACTTCTAGTTTTATTTTGCAGGACAAGTGAGGGCACCTGCATGCACATTTTCTTTGGCACATTGTAAAAAAAAAAAGGATGAAATATTAAGTGTCTCTTGCTCTTTCTTCCAAATCTAGTGGTAGATTGTGGTGACCCAGGCAACCCTTACGGCGGATACCGTCACCTGGCCTCTAACTCTAACACTAAGTACCAGGCTACGGTAACCTACACATGCAAGGCAGACCATCATTTGGAGGGAGAGGAAAGCCAAACTTGTCTGGCTAACGGAATATGGAGTGGATCAAAACCTGTTTGCTTAGGTATGTAAAATTGAATTTATAAGATACTTCTCATGACAAGTTTGCATATTGAGTTCTTTGGATGACAACCGTTTGAAAATCTTTTCTCAATACCCAACGAGAAGTACTCATTTCCTACACAGGGTGTTTTGTTTTGTGCTGAAAAGAAACCATAATTTTTTTTTCACGTTTTCCTTCCGTGGAACCTCTTCGAAGAGATTATCATACGTTCCAACTATAGTGACGTCCATCGAAAGACATCCTTTTATGGAGTAGAAAACTTAAAAAAATGAGAAATAACTCTGTGCAATACCTATCAGTTGTGCACAAAATTTTTGGACATTAATATAATAAATAAAATAAATACGTTAATTGAAGCTACCCCCTTAGGGGCTTTTCAGCCACAATGTAAACTAAGTGCTTGAAAATCCCCACTG